GATCCCAAGATCCATGCGCACGCGTAGTCAAGCCAAGCCATGCGACATCAAACTGATTGGTCAGTAAAATATGAATTTTACGAGGGTATAACAAAGGATACTATCTTTACTCATCTACTTTCAACTTCACAATTAACTCGAAAATGGTTGCAGATACCCCCGATGGTAGCCCAATAGCGCTTCATTTTTACAACAGTTTGATTGATATCCAGCAATATCCTAAATCCTGCACTGTGTCCTCGATAATCACGTACAAAAAAGTATCAATTGACAGGAACGGACGAGGTCATTTGGAAACTGGTAAGGGGCAGCACGGATGACAGCAGTCAGAAAAACTATACCGTGATATTATCAAATACTGACATGCTACAAAGTCAAGGGTGGGACAGTCGTAGGTAAGGCCGCTACCGCATCTGCAGTTTAGCGTAAAATCGCTAAACTTTTCGACTTATCCTCTTTCTGGACCGCTTCCTTGCTACCAGACTCCCTTCGTGGGATAAAAACTGGCTCAGAAGAAGTAATTGGCTTATCCCGTAAGTCATTACGTGGGCGAGACCACATGCAAATAAGACTGTGATGATTATTTTGGCTCAATGCCAGTGTTAGACTAATATTGAGAAGAATTTCTCAATAACGAGAATCTGCCACGTTTACAGCAAATAAACAAATCAGCATAAAATAAAGGAGCCTGCACTTGGCCCGAAAAAAAAACGAAGAGAGAAAAACAGCAAGGGAATTCGAATTCCACCGCTTTTGAGTGGAATGTGATCTAGAGAGCGAGGCCAACATGAAATTGTGGGAATGCGCGGCGCATACTGTGTAGTACTTTATAAGTTTTTCTCTGGAAGGACAATGTAGGGTGCCACAAAGCACACCACTGAATTTCATATACCTCTTATTTCATAAAAGTGCTTATAGAAGGAGCTCTCAATCCTCCAAGTGCACGAGTTACAAAGGATTATAATAGCCTGCAAAAAGTAGTCATCTTGGGCTATTTGACATCGGGACACGCTGTAACAATAGCATCCGATGGGTCTTCGTTGGAGCATATAAACTTTATCGCGCTCAATGTTCTGTTTGCTCTGGATTGACCGGGTGGTGACTCTGTTTCAAGCCTAGAACGTGATGAAAACAGGAGGTATCGCGACAACGGGGTCAAGTTCAAAACATAGTAATAAGTTCAGGTTACGAAATTCGAATAGAATTTTTGACGAGCACTTGTCTCGTGGGCCAACAGGCAGCATGTCGCCATAGCTTGCTATTACCTATATTCAACAAAATGATAGTGGTACTTTTTTACCTCAGGTTGTGAAACACTAATTTTATTTATTTATATTATCATCTTCATTGTTTTTTTGACTCTATCATCTTCACATACTTGTTTATTTTGAATTTTA